AGTGTGGTGGAATATTCTCCACATTTCTGGATGAGATTTCTGAATCAACAAGAAGGAAAAACATACTTGACCTCATCCTTATCAATGTGCCAGCTGCAGATGCATCTGTCCATGACAGTATTGGTAAGAGTGACCATCGCACAGTCCTTGTGGAGCCAAAGTCCCGCCTTCACATTTGAGAGTAACCTCCATCGTGTTGTGTGGCACTATCACCGTGCTAAATGGGACAGACTTCACACAGATCTAGCAACTCAAGACTGGGCATCCAGGAGGCGCTGTGGGCCATCAAAGCAGCAGAATTGTACTCCAGCACAATCTGTAACCTCATGGCCCGGTATATACCCCACTCAACTATTACCATCAAGCCAGGCGATCAACCCTGGTTCAATGGAGAGTGCAGGAGGGTATGCCAGGAGCAGCACCTGGCATACCTGAAGATGAGGTATCAACCTGGTGAAGCCACCAAACACAACTACTTGCACACTACTTGCAAGCGATCCCACAACCACCGGATCAGATCTAAGCTCTGCAGTCTGCCACATCCAGTTGTGAATGGTGGTGGACAATTAAACAACTCACTGGAGGAGATTTGACAAGGTCCCACATCAAAGACTGATAAAGAAGCACATAGGATCCAGGGTAACTCAGCAAAATGAATACAAAGATAACAAGGTGTAGAGCTGGATGAACACACAGAAAATTTTCTGAAGAAGGGTCTAGGCCCGAAACGTCAGCTTTCCTGCTCCTCTGATGCTGCTTGTCCTGCTGTGTTCATCCAGCTCTACACCTTGTTATCTCAGATTCTCCAGCATCTGCAGTTCCTACTATCTATAAAATGAATACAAAACTGGCCTAATGGTAGGAGACAGAGGATGGTGGTAGAAGGCTGTTTATGTGACTGGAGGCCAGTGTCCATTGGTGTACCACAGGGATCAGTGCTGGGTCTCTTATTTATGCATATAAACGATACAGATGAGCATGTGGGAGGGATGAGAGGTAATCCTGCAGATGATATAAAGATTGGCTGGGGAGTTAGTAGCGAAGAAGTTGTTGGGTGACAGGAGGATGTGGACTGGTTGGCTGCATGAGCAGATAGAATTTAACCCCAAAAAATGTGAGGTGATGCAATTTGAAACAAGTAACAAGACAAGGAAGTACTCAATGAATGGCAGGACACTAGGAAGCTCAGAGGAACGGAGAGATCTGAGAGTGCTTGTCCACAGATCCCTGAAGGTGGCAGCACAGGTCAATAGGGCAGATGAGAAGACATGTGAGATATTTGGTTTTATCAGGTACGACATCGACTTTAAGAGAAGGGAGGTTTTGTTGGAGCTGTACAAACTTTGGTTCGGCCACAGTTGAAGTACTGTGTGCAGTTCTGTAGGAGGGATGTGATTGTACTGGGGGGAGTGTGAAGGTGCAGAGGAGGTTTGCCAGGATGTGGCCTGGGTTGCAGCATTTCAGCAACAGAGAGAGGTTGGATAAGCTCAGGTTGAGGAGAGCGGGCTGAGGGGTGACCTGGTGGAGGTGTAAATGATTATGAGGGGTGTGGACAGGGTGGATAGAAAGCAGCTGTTCCCCTTATTTGAGGGGTCAACAACAAGGAGGCATCATTTAAGGTGAAGGGCAAGAGGTTTAGAGGGGACTTGAGGAAAATTCTTTTCACCCAGACATTGATGGGAATCTGGAATGCAGTGCCTGGCTGGGCAGTAGAAGTGGGAAACCTTGCAACCTTTAAAACATACATGGATGAAAAATTGAAATGTCACAACATTCAAGGCTATGGGAAGTGCTGGAAAGTGGAATTAGTGTAGATAGGTTGGCACAGACTCAATGGGCTGAAGGGTCTCCTCTGTGTTGTATGACTCGATGAGGAGGCTTGTAAAAATATCCCCATCTTTAAAGACAGGGACGTTAACACACCAGTACAAAAGGCTGACACATTGGCAAGGGACTTCAACCTGAAGTGCTGAGTCAGTGATTTATTTTGGCTTCCTCTGGAAGTCCTGAGCATCACAGATACCAGTCTTCAGCCAATTCAATTCATGTCACACAATATCAAGAAACTGTCAAAGGCATTGGATACTGCAATGGCTACGGGCCCTGACAACATTCCGGCAATAGTAGTGAAGACTTGTGCTCCAGAATTTACCAAACTCTTAGCCAAGCTGTTCCAGTACATTTACAACACTGGCATCTACTCAACAATGTGGAAAATTGCCCAGGTGTGTCCTGTACACAAAAAGCAGGACAAATCCAACCCGGCCAATTACCGCCCCATTGGCCTACTCTCGATCGTCAACCTGCTCAGCAATAACCTGCTCAGTGATGCCTTGCTGAATGGGCAAAACAGCTGAATTCCAGTGGTGAGGTGGGAGTGACAGCCCTTGATATCAAGGCCACATTTGACCGAGTGTGGCATCAAGGAGCCCGAGAAAAACTGGAATCAATGGGTATAGGGAGCAAATATCTGCTGGCTGCAGTCAGACAGACCTGGTTTGGTTTTGGTTGTTGGAGGTCAGTCATCTCAGCCCAGGACATCTCTGCAGGAGTTCCTCAGGGTAGTGTCCCAGGCCCAACCATCTTCAGCTGCTTCATCAATAACATTCCATCCATCATTAGGTCAAAAGTGGGGATGTTCACCGATGATTGCACAATGTTCAGCACCATTCGCAATTCCTCAGACTCTGAAGCAGTCCATATTCAAATGCTGCACGATCTGGTCAATATCCAGGCTTAGGCTGAAGAGTGGTAAATAAATGCTGGATAATAACAATCTCCAGCAAGAGAGAAGCTAACCATCACCCCTTGAGATTCCATGGCATTACCTTCACTGTATTCCCCACTATTATCATCGTGGGGGTTACCATTGACTAGAAACTGAACACACCTGATCTAAGTATTCTAGTGCATGAGACACTGAGGTACAGCAAGTGACTAAGGCAAATGGAATGCTTTTCCTTTATTACAAGAGGAATGGAACATAAAATTGAATGTTATACTTCAGTAATGCAGGGATTAGTGAGACCCACATCTCAAATACTGTGATAACAAGGTGTAGAGCTGGATGAACACAGCAGGCCAAGCAGCATCAGAAGAGCAAGAAGGCTGACGTTTCGGGCCTAGACCCTTCTTCAGAAATGGGGGAGGGGAAGGGGGTTCTGAAATAAATAGGGAGAGAGGGGGAGGCAGATAGAAGATGGATAGAGGAGAAGATAGGTGGAGAGGAGACAGACAGGTCAAAGAGGCGGGGATGGAGCCAGTAAAGGTGATTGTAGGTGGGGAGGTAGGGAGGAGATAGGTCAGTCCAGGGAGGACAGACAGGTCAAGAGGGCGGGATGAGGTTAGTAGGTAGGAGATGGGGGTGGGGCTTAAGGTGGCGGAGGGGATAGGTGGGAGGAAGGACAGGTTAGGGAGGCGGGGACGAGCTGGGCTGGTTTTGGGATGCAGTTGGGGGAGGGGAGATTTTGAAGCTTGTGAAGTCCACATTGATACCATTGGGCTGCAGGATTCCCACGCGGAATATGAGTTGCAGTTCCTGCAACCTTCGGGTAGCATCGTTGTGGCACTGCAGGAGGCCCAGGATGGACATGTCATCTGAGGAACGGGAGGGGGAGTTGAAATGGTTCGCGACTGGGAGGTGCAGTTGTTTATTGCAAACCGAGCGTAGGTGTTCTGCAAAGCGGTCCCCAAGCCTCCGCTTGGTTTCCCCGATGTAGAGGAGGCCACAACGGGAACAGCAGATACAGTATACCGCATTAGCAGATGTGCAGGTGAACATCTGCTTGATGTGGAAAGTCTTCTTGGGGCCTGGGATGGAGGTGAGGGAGGAGGTGAAGGGGCAGGTGTAGCACTTCCTGCAGTTGCAGGGAGAAGTGCCGGGTGTGGTGGGGCTGGAGGGGAGTGTGGAGCGGACAAGGGAGTCACAGAGAGAGTGGTCCCTCCGGAAAGCAGATAAGGGTGGGGAGGGAAAATCATCTTTGGTGGTGGGGTCGGATTGCAGATGGCGGAAGTGTCGGAGGATGATGCGTTGGATCCGGAGGTTGGTGGGGTGGTACGTGAGGACGAGGGGGATTCTTTTTTGGTTGTTATTGCGGGGAGGGGGTTTGAGGGATGAGTTGCAGGAAATGCGGGAGACACAGTTGAGGGCGTCCTTGACCACTGAGCGGGGGGGGAAGTTGCGGTCCTTGGAAAAACGAGGACATCTGAGATGTACGGGAGTGGAATGCCTCAGCCTGGGAGCAGATGTGGCGGAGGCGAAGGAATTGGGAATAGGGGATGGCATTTTTGCAGGAAGGTGGGTGGGAGATTCAAAATGACCTGGACCATCTCTAATACCTCTCTCCCCTTCCTGGACCTCTCTGTCTCCATCTCTGGCAACCACCTAGAAACCGATATCCATTTCAAGCCCACCGACTCCCACTGCTCCAGCTAGAATACACCTCCTCCCACCCACCTTCCTGCAAAAATGCATGTTGACAGTCTCAGTCTAGCTCATAACAAGCCCAACACCTGCAATGCCAAGCATTTTATGGTTCCACAGTCAAACTCATAAGGAACGCTGAAGATATTTGGGTGTTGGGATTCAGAATGTCACACCGTGCTGCAGACAGCAGCAGGTCCCAGGTTCAATCCCTGCTCAGTGCCCAGATCAGTGCAAACCTGCCAAGGCTTCCAACCACTGCCCCACTCCTCTCCTCCTCCCACCTCAAGCTCATAGTCAAACTATTAGAGTGCAGTGGTCACCAGAGGTTTTACTCTGGCATTCAGCTGTAGTGAGTACACTGGTGGGTGTGTGCTCACTCTCTCTGGGTGGATGATGGAATGGCTCCAGGTACAAATTAGACAGGGAGAGAAAATATTTTTTTTTAATCAATGCTCACTTAATGATGACTTCCCAGCCAATGCACATTGAGATGAGGCAGTGGTGTACTGCACCTTAGTGGGTCCATTATTGACAATTCAAGTGTGAGAAATGCAAACACATCGCACTCAGTCAGGACAGGGAGATGAGCTGTGATTTTATTCCCCCTCCAACCCTAGTTACAGAGATGTACAGTTTCCCCAGCAGCTGATCAATTACAATTCCTTTCCCACAGCCTTTGAGGTAATGAGTAAGGGGTGGGGATCATAATTACAATGTTTTATCTTTCTGACATTCCAGTATGACCTTCGTTACATGCGATGTCAGCTCCCATGCTTGTCCCATTAGCAAAGAAGCCAGATCCCTGCTAGGCGGGTTTTCTACTCATGATGATTGAGGAGAGTTCGTTGGTCAGTCTGTAACGCTGACCGTTCCAGTGGAAGTGTGATGGTGGGCCACTGTCAGGTCTACCGTCGCTGTACTCAAACTGAGGGCTGAGCTCAAAGGCCAGGGAGGATTTAACCAGCCCAACCCTGCCTGACCTCTCTGGGGCTGGGTGATAGACTCGGCCATTCTCCGGCATGAACAACCGCTCAGGTTCAAACAGCACAGCCAGCTTGTCCCCACCCCCGCAGTAGGACAGTAGCTCCCGCTCAGAGCCTTCACCTTTGATCAGGTGGGTGAACACAACAGGAAGGTCATCACAGCGTACAAAGTTCCGCTCACGGCCGCACAGCGACACATAGGGGAACTCCTGGTAGCGGCCGGTAGAATTCTTCCTGAGTTGCTTGAAGAAGAAAACGAGGAACTGTTTATCTGTTTGATGACCCACAGAGAGAGAGAGAGAGAAAAAGAGAGGCATTTTAATGAAATGGGCTACATGCAGCATTTCCACCAAGCAACAAGTCCCCAAATCACTGTAAAATAACCTCACCACCGTTACAATCTCAATGGAATTCAGGACAATGTGCAACTCTCTATCTCATCCGGTGGTGGAGGAAAATAATATAGATACAGTTAAGGAATCTTTTAAAATTTCATTCATGGGATGAGGGCCGCTGCTTCTGAAAGTTTGAGTTCACAGTGCAAATGAAGACTCACAAGGTGGCATGGATGCTATACTTGTTCAGAATATTCAATCCTCTCCTACTGAACTGGGCTTCCATTTGCTTCAGGTTAACTGGCTGAAGGACAACATCAAAGATGAAGGCAATTTTTGTTAGGATCCTCACAGACCAGTCTCTTAATCCAGCTCTGGACTGTTACCTGTCCTAACACTGTCAGTGTAAAGGGGATAGTATCGTGGGAAATAGAGATTGAGAAGTTCTTGTAAGCCTAGAGCATCGCTGAGGGAGGGTTAATAGAGTTTTATTCCATATTCCAAATGGCAACAACAAATATCAGAGGGATGGATGTAAAGCCTAGGTACTGAAAGCAGAAATCTGTCAGCTCCTGGAGCTGACAGTATTTATTATAAAGAAATTCCAATTCACTGGAAGATTTTCTTTCAATTGCTGATAAATGAGAGACTCAGGATAATTTTCACCCGGTACTTTTTGAAAGAAACAGCAATGTTATGACATACTCAGTACTTAAGAAGTCAATACAGTGTGGAGTTGGAGGAACACAGCAGGAATGGCAACATCAAAGGAGCAGGAAAGTCAACGTTTCGGGTCAGGACCCTTCATCAGGACTGGGGAGGGGGAAGGGAGCTGAAAATAGAGGGAGGAGAGGTATGGTTGGGGGAAGGTAGGTAGGATGGTGATAGGTGGATGCATTTGGGGTAGTTTTTTTTTCTATTCATTTGTGGGATGTGGGTGTCGCTGGCTGGGGCAGCATTTATTACCCCTCCCTAGTTGAACCTTGAGAAGGTGGGGGTGAGCTGCCTTCTTGAACCACTGCAGTCCTCCTGCTGTGGGTTGACCCACAATGCTATTAGGGGCGGAATTCCAGGGATTGGTCGGTGGGAAGGGTGGCATGGATAGGTGGGAAAGAAGATGGACAGGTAGTGTCAGGTCAAGGAGGTGAGGATGAGAGGGCGGGTTGGAAATGGGATGAGACTGGGGGTGGGGAGATTTTAAAACTGGTGAATTCCATGTTTAGGCCATCGGACTGTAGACTGCCGAGGTGGAATAGGAGGTGTTGCTCCTTTAGTTTGCGGTTGGTGTAATTGTGGCAGTGGAAGGGGCCCAGGATGGACATGTCACTAAGGAAATGGGAGGGGTAAGTTAAAATGATTGGGACTGGAAGGTACTATTGATTATCACACAGAGCACAGATGATCTGCGAATCAGTCCCCGAGTCTGTGCTTGGTCTCATCAATGTAGAGGAGGCCACATCAGGAACAATGGATTCAGTCAACCAGGTTGGAGGATAGACAGATTTGGAGTTTGTCTGGGGCCTTGAATGGAGGTGAGGGGGAGATGTAGGGGCAGGTGTAGCACTCCCTGTGGTTGCAGGGAAAGATGCAGGGGGTGGGGGGGTCGTTGGGGATTGTGGAACGGACGAGGGTCGCAGAGTGAGCAGTCCCTACAAAAGGCAGATAGGGGTGGGGAGGGAAATATTTGGTGGTGGGGTCGGATTGTAGGTGGTGGAAGTGACGGAGGATGTTGCGCTGGATGTGGAGGTTGGTGGGGTGGTACATGAAGACCAGGGGGATTCTGTCTTTATTTTTATTGGGGGGAGGGGGTTTGAGGGCAGAAGTGCAGGAAATGTAAGAGATGTAGTTGAGGGCATTCTGGATCAACCGGGTATGGAAACAGAGAGGTCCAGGAAGGAGAGGGAGGTATCGGAGATGGTCCAGGTGAATTTGAGGTCGAGGTGAAAGGTGTTAGTAAAGTTGATGAACTGTTCAAGCTCCTCATGGGAGCACAAGGCAGCGCCCATACAGTCATCAATGTAGCGGAGGAACAGGTGAGGGATGGTGACGGTGTAACAGTGGAAGAGGAACGGTTCCATGTATCCTACGAAGAGGCAGGCATAGCTCGGATCCTATAGTTTGTAGGAAGTGGGAGGAGTTAAAGGAAAAGTTGTTGAGGGTTAGGACCAGTTCCGTTAGGCAGATGAAGGTGTTGGTGGAGGGGCCTATGGGAGACAAAGAAGTGGAGGGCTTTTAGTCCAGCTGCGTGGGGGATACAGGTGTACAGGGACTGGATGTCCTGAGTGAAGATGAGACGTTGGGGACCAGGAAACTGAAAGTCTTGGAGGACTTGGGGGGCGTGGGTAGTGTCCAGAACGTTGTTGTGGAGCTTGTGGACCAGAGCGGTTCTGAGGAAGGGTCACCGAACCCGAAATGTTAACTCTGATTTCTCTTCACAGATGCTACCAGCTCCTTACCTGCAATCCCTTCTCCAAATCATTTTTATAAATTGTAAACAGTTGAGGCCCTTGCACCAACCCCTGTGGCACACCACTCCTACCCACTTATTCCTACAGTCTGCTTCCTGTTAATGGCTTTCCTGAGGCATGTTCAAACACAAGTTAATCCTTGTCTGTTTCCAAACTACAGACATTACCTGACCCTCTGGAGCTTATTTGGTCAAATTAAACCATTCATATTCAGGGCTGCCTTTTACAAAGAGTGCGTCTACTGTATAAATAAGCTTCTCAGGCATTTAATGAGACCATGATAGGTTGGGGAAGCAGGGGTTAATCCCCTTGGAACAAATTAATTTGACAGGCGGAGCTGACGAGGGTGTACAAGATTATGTCACTACACAGATGTAAGGTTTTGGGCGACAGATTCATGGGGAGTATGAGGAAGTCGGAGACAATCACCTGGAAATAGAGTGATGAATGATTTCAAAGGGAACAAAGGACTAAGGAGCAGCAGTGGGTCATTCGACACTCTGTGCCAGCTCCACCTTCAGGAAGACCATGGTTGATCTTAAGGTCAGGTTCCTGCATAACCTTTAACTCCATGTCAAAAACCTCCAGGCGTGGACTGGCCAAGATTATATACCATTGTAGCAAGATGTCTTTACTCCTGTACTCAATCCTCCAATGATAGGGACTTGAGACAAACACTTTGCAAAGGCTAGGGACTCAGCAGTGGAACGGGGCTGACTAGCTTGCTTGAAGATAGCCAGGTTTGATCCGATGTGCCAAATGGCCTTCTTCTTTTGCGCTATCATGACCCTGTGTGTTAGGGGAATGTTGGATACAGTCTATATTGCTATTCCAGACAAGGGGATGTTCGTTTTGTTTGTTAATTAACAACAGGATGAGGGCATCCCTGGCTAGGCCAGCATTTATTGTCCAGAGGGCAGTTAAGAGTCAACCACATTGCTGTGGGGACACGTGTGGGCCAGAACTGGTCAGGGTGATCACAGGAGTCTTGATCTGCTCATTAGAAACAAATTCTTTTGTGAGCACATGACAATGTTTCTAACAGGCCTGCCACATTAACTGATTCATTGGGTAAGGTTTTTGTTTGAGCGTCAGATGTATTCATTTAAGTCTAAGGTAGTCAGGGATACAGCTACACTCACCTTTAAAGCAGGTGATGAAATTTTTCACCTTTGTGTCATCAAGGAAGAGCTGCAAGAAAACACAAGATAATGTCGTATCTGCTTCATACACAACAGGACAGCGTCATATCCGTATCATATACAACAGCACAACATGTATCCGCGCTGTATACAATGAGACAGTATCGTATTCACATTGGACACAACAGGGCAGTGTTGTATCCACATCATACATAAGCCAGTGTCATCTCCATATCTTACAGCATCTCACTTTTTATGTTGTAATCATTGTTAAATTAAGCATTTTAAAAACACTGGAAATGCCGAAAGGGCTGGGAGTTCAATAGTTACAGCAGGAATTCTTCCATTGAGTCTTTCAGGGAATATGATCATCTAGGCCAGCAACTGTAATTGTCCTTGGACTGAGTGGATTGTCAGGGCTGTTGTGACCCAACCACAGTGGTCTGAGTCTGGAGTCACATGTAGTCCAAACCAAGTAATGTTTGCAGATTTCTTCAGTAGAGGACATATGAGTGGCTTACAACAACTGATATTGGCTTTATGGTCATCATTATTGAGACTAGCTATCCAGTCCAGTTTTATTAATTGCTTTAACTTAAATACTCCACCAACTACATGGTGGGATTTAGCTGGGCCTCTGGATTCCTAGTCCAGCGATATAACCACTTGGACCACCATCTACTTGCTCCTTAAACAAGAAAAGGATACATTTACACAGTGACGTTGGGCTGTGCAGTACTCCCTTCAGTGTGACAACCCAGGCACCTGGAGCAGGGCTTGACGTCACATCCTCCTGACTCAGAGCCAAGTGAGCTATCCACTGAGCTATAGCTGGCAGCTAATTGTGGCAACTCCCCGAAGGTGTCATTTCCAATAATTCTGTGCAGTACTTGCTTTATAGGGACAGGAAGATGATACCATGATGCTGCAGTTGTTTGTACAGACAACCGTGTGCATCTCTTCAGCAGCACACAGTGCAACTCATACCCGCTCAGTTCCAGGCTACTCAGTTCTAGCAGGTACTCAGGTCAACATGAGGCCAGGCACAACTACTATCTCCTCAAACACTACCCCTAAAGTTAAGTTTAAAAATCCACTGTGCCTACATGTGGGTAATTAGAGGCCAGATTTACTTTTGCAAATACTTTGTTATGTTTCTTTGTACATATATATCACACATACACACATGGTACTCTGAAATTTTCATATCTTACAATGTCACAGTTGAAGTGTTACAGATATAAACCAGTATCTGCATTCAAGATACTCAGGAACATTTTATAACTTGCAAAGTCACTTTGAAGTGTAGCCATTATTTTATAGTAAAGAAACAGGTGCATCAATTTTCACACAGGGTGGTTCCTAACAGTAACAAGGCAGATGACTAGATAACCTGCTTTAGGTGTTGTTTAATCTCAGAGAGGTGAAGGGTCATAGGTCAAGTCTTTTGGCATTTATCCAGTTAAGAAATAATCCTGAGTGAGTCTGAAGAAACCACACACAAACCTTGGAAGGGTCATTGATTGGAAACAGCACCTCTCTCCCAACTGATGCTGCCAGAATAGCTCAGTATTTCCAGCATCTGTACTACAGTACTTTTCATACAGAACGGACACTCTCTTAAAGTTTGGCGCTTATAAGTATCTGAAAAACTGTTAGTCAATAAAATATACTATGTCTGTTAGAACACAATATTAAAATTCATTGCAAACATTTTGTTTATTTGCATATTATGTCTAAACATAAATCAGCCACAATCTATAAATAGCCTTGTCTCCCACAGGACAGTCTTCATTCCAGAAGATAGAACATAGAACAGTACAGCACAGTACAGGCCCTTCAGCCCACAATGTTGTGCTGACCTATTATCCTGCTAAGATCAAACTACCCTGCATATCCTACATTTTACTATCCTCCATGTGCCTATCCAAGAGTCACTTAAAAGATGGAAGAGAGTCACTTAAAGTTTGTGCAAGATGACAATATCCAGTTCCAATAATATTTTTAATTGTTATGGCTCATTTCACACAGTCTTTTCTTTTCCTTTTATGCAATGTGGGAATCACTGACAAGGTCAGGTATGAATTAGGAGGAGAGTTTGGACAAACTTGATTTGTCTTCACTTGAACTTCAAAGGCTAGCAGGCAACCTGATAGAAGTTTACAAAATTATGAGAGGTGTGGATAGAACGGATAGTCAGAGTCTTTTTCCCAGGGTAGAAATCCACTAGGGGAGATAGGGAAAAGGTAAAAGGAGACAGTTTAAAGGAGATGTGAGAAGCCAGTTTTCTTTTTCACACAAAAGATGTTCAGTCCCTGGAACGTGCTGCCGGAGATGGATACAACAACAAAGTTTAAGATGCATCTTGACAGATGTATGAATAGGCTGGGAACAGTGGGATACGGACGATGTGGAGACAAAAGGATTTTAGTTTAGAATGGTATCAAGTATCAATGCAGTCTTGGTGGGCCGAAGGGCCTGCTCCTGTGCTGCATTGTTCTTTGTTACCCATCCTTTGGAGTGAGTGGTTTGCCAGGCTATTTCAGAGGGCAGTTAAGAGTCAACCACACTAGTAGAGGTCTGGAGTCACATGTAGGCCAGACTGGGTAAGAATGATAGATTTCCTTCCCTGAAAAAGCAGAACCTAGCCCTATTGAACTGGCTGCGATTATTACAACAATCAATTATGGTTTCATTAGATTTTTATAGATACACCATAGAAAGCACCCTATCCGGCTGCAACACAGTTTGGTATGGCAACTGCTCTGTCCAAGACTGCAAGAAATTACACAGACTTGTAAACACATTCCAGTCTATCACATAAACCAGCCCTCCTTCCATTGACTCCATCTACATTTCCTTCTGCCACAGGAAAGCAGTCATCATAATAAAAGATCCCTCCCACCCCCAGTTATACTTCTCTTCCACCGTCTTCCATCGGGCAGAAGATATAACAGTTTGAATACACGAACCAACAGACTCAGGAAAGCTCTTTCCCCGCTGTTTATCAGACTTATGAATGGGCCTCTGATGTACGAGAGTTGGTCTTTCTCTACACCTTCTCTGTATCTGTCACACTATATTCTGCAATCTGTTCTATTAACCTGATGTAAAGTGCAATTTGTCTGGTAGGCCTGCAAAACAATACTTTTCACTGTGTCTCGGTACATGTGACAATAATACATCAAATCTAATCCTGGTCACTGTTAACGAGATCAGCCTTCAATTCCAATTTTATTCATTGAATTTAAATTCCACCACCTTCAGCATGGTGGGATTTGAAAAAAGGTAAAATACTCCTGATGCTGGAAATCTGAAACAAATACAGGAGACGTTGGAGAAACTCAGCAGGTCTGGCAGCATCTGTGGAGAGAAATCAGAGTTAACGTTTTGAATCTGGTATGACTCTTCTTCAGAATTTGAATCTGGGTCATGACATCTAAGTCTGTGATAGATAGATTTTTAATCAGTGAATAAATCAAGGGTTATAGGGAGAAGATGGGACAGTGGAGTCAAGAATTATCAGATCAAACATGATTTCTCTGAATGGTGGAGCAGACTGATGGGCTGAATGGCCTACTTCTACACCTACATCTTATGGAATCCATGTCTCCAGAACATGACACCAGGCTCTAAATTATTGATCTAGTAATATTACCACATCACCATATCCCTGCAATCTACTGTTTCAGTCAGGATGAACCCGATTGTAATGAACAGGGAGTTCAATAGCACTGACCTACAAAAATATCAATGCAGATCAAAGACAATAACATCGGTGTTTGCTTTCCCACAGATGACAATGAATACGTTTCAAAATTACACTTCATCGGCTGTGAGGCCCTCTGGGACATGCTGAGATCTTGAAATGGCCGACAGAAAGACAAGTTGCTCTTTAGTTAACTCAGCATCGTGTTCAATGATTTATAAATAGGAATTAATGGAACTTAGTGCTGTTCTTCAATGGATGTTGCACTGTGGTCCTGTGGGGATTGGTTTTATTGACAATTTGACTGTTTAATAGTACTTCACAGTAAGCTATAATCTTTGCTAAAGTGATAAGGTTTATCTAGATGTCGTTAACTAAAGGGCTGTTGCTTCTTGCATCCCCATGGCAGCACGTGTGGAGAGAGCAATGTTTCAACCTCTCATCAGAACTGAGGAAAGTTAGAAGTCTAATAGGACTTGGGCAAGTGAAAGGCACAAAGGGATAGAAACAGCAAATGCTGGAGAAACACTGCATCTGTTGGGGGGGGAAGAGGATAGAGAGAGAGAGAGAGAGAGCAAGAGAGAGAGAGCGAGAGCGAGAAACACAGCTAACTTTTCAAATCCTGTCAGTCTTCTGAGGAACCTTCCGGGAACACAGGGTGGGAGGGAGAACAACAAATATGAAGGTCTGTATTAGGATAGAAGGCTGGAGAGGTTAAATACCAAAATATTTCATGGTACAAAAGCCAAAAGGGGAAGTGGTAATGGGCAAGGAAACAGCTCAATGAGGCTGGATAGGAACCATCAGGAAGCAAAAGAATAAAGAAAGAAAGATGGAAAAAAATATACAGAACAAAATGGGCAGAGGTAATGTTCTAAAGTTGTTGTGGTCTCTCTCCCTGGTCTCATTGTTCTAGAGAAGGTACAGCAAGTTAGAGGCAGGCTGTAAGCAAGACATGGTGCACAACCCCTCCTCCTGGCGTGACAAGCAAGTGGTGCTCACCACAGCTCACTATTTCATTCATAATATCATCAGAATCATGACAGATTCACAAGGGACAGCTTAAAGTACAGTCCCAGGCTGCCTCTAACCCACTGTTCTAAACACCAAGCAAGATTGAGGGTGGTAAAATCAGAAAGAACTGCAGATGCTGTAGATCAGGAACAAAAACAAAAAGTTGCTGGAAATGTTCAGCAGGTCTGGCAGCATCTATGAAGAAAAAAAAATCAGAGTTAACGTTTCGGGTCCGGTGATCCTTCCATAAAACTGAAGATGATTGAGGGAGGCCACAACAAATACATGTGGTGCTGAGGTCACGACAATCTAGTGCCATATATGGCCCCTTTGATGAATAGAACCTGATGCATTGACAATGTTCTACTTCTCCCACTCTCTGTATATGTAGAGCTGCAGCAACCTCTACTGGCAAAACATGAGATGTTATAATTAATACTTTTCTTCTGTTTTAACACATTAGCAGCCCCTGGTGCAAAAAAAGGAGGTTGTTCGGACACTTTTTTACATTCATTCGTGGGCCAGGCCAGCATCCAGCCCTAATTGCCTTGGAAAGATGGTGGTGAGCTACCTTCTTAAATCCCTCTGGCATGGAGGTAGGCCCTAGGTGTTGTTAAGAAAGTCAAGTTGCAGGATTTTGACCCAACGAAAATGAGTCAGAATGTTGAGTGAGAGATAGTAGGAACTGCAGATGCTGGAGAATCTGAGATAATA